AAAAAAAAAAAATCCTGATAAAAGTCTGCTCTCTCTAGCCAAAAGACCAGGAAAAGGGCAATCTAGTGAGACAAAAAAACTTGTAGACAGTAACTGCTCTATTCTACCCAAATACCACAGAAAACAACTGTAACCCCATCAAGCTGGGTGGAGAGCCTAGATTTCTACCCTCACAAAGCTTTAATGAGGTATCCCAATATCCTGGTGTTGTCAGAGAAGACCAAGTAGGGAGCCAGGACTGTTATCCCCTCTGGTAATGAGTCTGCTTCCCACCCCACATGGTGTTAGTAGACACCAGATGGGGATTCCGACTTATACTCCAAATTGTCAGTTACAAGGTGCCCCTTCACATCCCACTAGGGTGGTATCAAATAGGCCTACTCTAGAGTCAAAACTTTCACCACCACCCAGTGGCAGTGAGTCCACACCCACTGTAGAGACCAAGTAAGGAACCAGAACTTTGATTTCACCTCATCAGCAATGAGGAGCTTCCCCCTCAGGTATCAGTGAAAGCTGACTGGGGAACCTAAACTTTCCCCTATCTGACGGTAATGAGGCAGTAGCTCCATCCTTTCCCTATTAGAGTGGTGTCTGAAAAACCAGCTAAAACAGAAAGTTTAAGATCCAGAGTTTCGTGAATATAATAGAAAATAGGTTTCTACTAAAAAAAGTCACAAGACATCTCAAGAATTGGAAGATCTCCAACTGAACTTAAGAACAGTCACTAGGCCAGGCTTGGTGGCTCAGCCTGTAATCCCAGCATTTTGGAAGGCCAAGCCGAGTGGATTGCCTGAGCCCGCAGGTTCATGATCAGCCCGGGCAACTTGGCGGGATCTCGTCTCTACAATAAATCAAAAATTAGCGCAGAGCCCAGCAGGTCAATGCTGGGGTGGCCATGAGCATGTTACTGCACTCCAGCCTGGGAGACAGAGTGAGACTCCAACGCAAAAAAAAAAAAAAGAACAGTTACTAGATAGGAACACTGAGATGACAAATATGTTAGAAGTATGAGACAAAGATTTTAAAGATGCCATGACAAAAAATTTTTAAATGAGAAATTATAAACATGCTGACAAATGAAAAAATAGACTCAGCAAAAATATAGAAAGTCTCAGGAAAGAAATATAAGATATAAAAAAAAACCCAACAAAAATTTTAGAAGTGAAAAGTACAATAGCTGATATGAAAAGCTCAGTGAATGGGCATAACAGCAGAATGGAGGAGAAAAAGGAAAGAATGAGTAAACTGAATGACAGAACTGTAGAAGTTACCCAGTCTTAACTATAGAGAAGAAATAGACTAAAAAATATGAACGGAGATTCAGGGACCTGTAGTACTACAACAAAATATCTAACATCAGTGTCATCAGAGTCTCAAAAGAATGAAGAAAGAAGGTGGGTCTGAAAAAGTATTCAAAGAAATAATGCACGAAAACTTCCCAGATATAGCAAGAAACAAACCTACAGATTCAAGAAGCTGAGAAAACCCCAAAAGCATAAAGCCAAAGAAATCCATGCAAAGAAACATCATAATTAAACTTGTGAAAACTAAAGGCACATACAAATTTTTGAAAGCAGACCAGGCATGGTTGCTCATGCCTATAATCCCAGCACTTTGGGAGGCTGAGGCAAGATTGTGTGAGCCCAGGAGTTTGAGACTAGCCTAGGCAGCATACCAAGACCTCTACAAAAATAAAAATTAAAAAATTAGCCAGGCTTGGTCTTGGTGAGCACTCCTATAGTCCCAGCTACTTGTGAGGCTAAGGCAAAAAGATCTTCTGAGCCCAGGAGGTTGAGGCTGTGGTGAGCTGTGATCATGTCAGTGTACTTCAGCCTGGGTGACAGAGTGAGACCCCAACTCAAAAAAAAGGGGGTGGGGTGGGAGAAACAATTATACTAATACCAATTTCTTATTGGAAACCATGGAAGTCAGAAAGAAGTGGCACATTATTTTCAAAGTGTTTAAAGATCTGTCAACCCAGAATCCTACACCCAGATAAAATA